TGCGGGAACTGTCGCAGGGATGGTTGAGGCCGGAGGTGAGGAGCAAGGAGCAGATCATGGAGTTGCTGGTGCTGGAGCAATTCCTCAGCATCCTCCCCGAGGAAATCCAGAGTTGGGTTTGGGTCCGACACCCCGAATCCTGCGCCCAAGCCGTCGCCTTGGCCGAGAGCTTCCAGCTGGGACGAGGGGATCCCGACGGGATCTGGGAGCAGCAGGTGAGGACGGTGGCTGGATGCTGTTCTCCCCCAAAAATGGGCATAACACCCCAAAAATGGGCATAATCTCAAAAAAAATTTGACATAACCATCTGAGAAATGGGCACAATCCCTCAAAAATGGGCAAACCCCCCAAAAATGGGCATAACCTCCCCCAAAAATGGGCATAATCTCAAAAAAAAATTGACATAACCATCTGAGAAATTGGCACAATCTCTCAAAAATAAGCAAAACCCCCAACAATGGACATAACCACCCCAAAAAATGGCATCATCTCAAAAAAAATTGACATAACCGTCTGAGAAATGGGCACAATCTCTCAAAAATGGCCAAAACCCCCAAAAATGGACATAACCACCCCAAAAAATGGGCATAATATAAAAAAATTGACATAACCATCTGAGAAATGGGCACAATCCCTCAAAAATAAGCAAAAGCCCCAAAAATGGGCATAACACCCCAAAAATGGGCATAATCTAAAAAAAAATTTGACATAATCATCTGAGAAATGGGCACAATCTCTCAAAAATAAGCAAAACCCCCAACAATGGGCATAACCTCCCCCAAAATGGGCATAACGCCCCGAAAAATGGGCATAATATAAAAAAATTGACATAACCATCTGAGAAATGGGCACAATCCCTCAAAAATAAGCAAAAGCCCCAAAAATGGGCATAACACCCCAAAAATGGGCATCATCTAAAAAAAAATTTGACATAATCATCTGAGAAAGGGGCACAATGCCTCAAAAATGAGCAAAATACACAAAAATGGGCATAACCTCCCCAAAAAATGGCATCATCTCAAAAAAAAATTGACATAACCATCTGAGAAATGGGCACAATCCCTCAAAAATGGGCAAAACCCCCAAAATGGGCATAACCACCCCAAAAAATGGCATCATCTCAAAAAAAATTGACATAACCATCTGAGAAATGGGCACAATCCCTCAAAAATGGGCAAAACCCCCAAAATGGGCATAACCTCCCCAAAAAATGGCATCATCTCAAAAAAAAATTGACATAACCATCTGAGAAATGGGCACAATCCCTCAAAAATGGGCAAAACCCCCAAAATGGGCATAACCACCCCAAAAAATGGGCATAACACCCCAAAAATGGGCATCATCTCAAAAAAAATTTGACATAATCATCTGAGAAATGGGCACAATGCCTCAAAAATGGGCAAAATCCCCAAAATGGCCATAACCACCCCAAAAAAATGAGCATAATCCCTCCAAAGATGGGTGTAATCCCCCCAAAATGGGCATAACCATCCAAAAAATGGGCACAACCACCCAAAATGGGCATAGCCCCCCTAAAAATGGGCACAACCACCCCAAAAATGGGCATGAACCCCGCAAAATGGGCATAACCCCCCACCAGCCCTTTTTTTTTTTGGGGGTCCCGCAGGTGACGGTGCGCGTGAAGGTGGAGGAGGTGGTCCCGGTCGACGTTGAGGACCCTGAAGTGACGGGGGATCCACCAAACCCCCCATCGGAGTCACCCCAACTCCCCTCGGAGGAGGTGGCCCGGGGCAAGGTGAAGTTTGTGGCCGAGGAAGAGGAGCGGCACCGGGAGGAAGCAGGTAATGGGGTGAAGGAACGTTCATCCTCCTCAAGAAAACAGGTGAAGACGGTGCTGGAGGAGGTTTTGGGGGCTTGGAGGTGGTGGGGTGTCTTCTACTGATGGGTTTGACCCAGTCTGGACCTCCCTTGGTTTTACTGGGATTTTTTGGGGGAATTTTTGTTGCTCCTCAACAAAGAAAAAGAGGAAAAAAGTTAAAAAAAAAAAAGAGTTTTCAGTGGTGGGAAAACTCTTGGGGTTTTGAGGAAAAGGAAGAAAGCTGTGACCTGAAGAAGCATCCAGGTGGAGATCCCTCCAGTGGTGCCACCACGTGTTGGGTTGGAAAACCCAAGTTTTCTTGGGTTGGAAAAAAAAAAAAAAAGTCTCGTTGGGTTGGAAAACCCAACGGAAGCGAGGAGAAAGAGTTGGGAGACGTATCTGAGATGTTCCAGGGTGGGAAGGTGGAAGGCGCCGTCTGTTGAGTTTTTTGGAGAAGGTTGGAGGTCTTGAAGATCATGAGCATCCATAGAGACCTCTTCTTGTCCACGTTTGTCTTGAAGAGCCCCAAAATCTTGTGGCCTTCATCAGCTTCTTCATGGAGACGCTGGAAATGTCCCTCAAAGGAATTTCCATGGATGATGGTTGGAGCGTGGTGGGCTCCTCTTTGGGTCCTCGTGCTGCCGTCCTCGGCCACCCAACTGGTTGGGTTCCTCTGTTGAGGTGGCCTCATCTTCTTCATCGTCATGGCCCATCCATGGGTGGATTTGGGGGTTCGGTGGGAGCTGGAGGAGGGTGGTGGGGGTCTCAGGAGAAGGGTGGTGTCCTCCATGGAGAACCACTTCATGAACCATCTTCTCCTTGCCCCCCAGCAGGTCCCACCACGGCGAGCAGACACCCGGAGGTGCCCATTTTACATCGACAAGACCCCCCACACCCACCCAGCACCCTCCAGGGCGTCCCAACGGCCAGGACCCCCACCCAGAAGGGGACCCACCACCGACATCTCCCCCGGGATCCCACCACCGTCCCCCAGCCCCTCGCCCAAGATCCACCCAGACCCGTGGAGGCCACCAGAAGCCCGGAGAAGCCGTGGGTGAAGCGGGACGCGGGGAAGGACCGTCCGTACCCTTGCGGCGAATGCGGGAAGACCTTTGGGCGGTTGACTCACTTGAAGACCCACCAACGAACCCACACGGGGGTGAAGCCCTACGCGTGTGGGGCGTGCGGGAAGAGC